AGCCCAAGAGTTTGAGGTTGCTGTGAACTGTGATACCACAGCACTCTACTGAGGGCGACCAAGTAAGACTTTGTCTTCAAAAAAAACAAAAACAAAAGAACAAGGTTTTTTTTTAGGTCAATAGTTCTCAAAAGTATGGAGACCCTTAATCAGCAATATCAGCATCACCTGGAAAGTGTTAGAAATGCACATTCCAGGCCAGAAGGCTCACAGCCTGTAATCCTAGCACAGTGGGAGGCTAAGGTGGATAGATCGCTTGAGCTCAGGAGTTCGAGACCAGCCTGAGACCCCATCTCTAAAAATAGCCAGGCATTGTGGTGGTTGCCTGTAGTCCTAGCTACTTGGGAGGTTGAGGCAAGAGGATTGCTTTAGCCCACGAATTTGAGCTTGCTATGAGCCATGATCATAGCCATACTGCTATGATACCATGGTACTCTACCCACGGCTGTACTCTGTCGATTAGATAGATAGATAGAGTTAGAAATGCAAATTCCTGGGCCTCACCCCTGCTATTCAGAGACTCTGGAGGTGAGGCCTAGCAACAAGTCTTTTAACAAGCCCTTTGGGTTATTCTGATATATGCTAAAATTTGAGAACTACTAGTTCAAATGATATATATATATATATATATATATATACAGTGGCTAAAATTCTTGGCTCTTATCACTTGAGGCCTGGATTTGGTTTAATTCCAGAGTGCCTGTTAGGATCTGTAGCAATAGTGCTTCTAGCAATTGTGTAGATGAAAGACTGAGAGCCAGGGCATGTGCACAGGAGCTGCTTCCATAGTTTCCAGTGATTGAGATATGAAGAAATAAGCAATGGAGCCAAGACTACTGAGGCAAACCAGACTATTTCAGTACTTAGGATAATTAGCAGAAGCTTTTCCTTTGATGACGTCATTTAGATTGTGCCTCTATCCATTAGAAAGATACTGAAAATAACAAATTATGAATTTAGCTATATAAATGTTTATAAAATTATTTTCAGAATTAAGGAATTTGTGAATGAGCTTTCAGATGTTTTTAAGTTATAAATAATTACAGACATACAGTACCTGAAAGACACTGCATTAACACAGCTAAGGATAAATATCCTTTACTTACTGATTTATTTTTATATAATTATTAATTTTTTGGACTTCACAGAGGGTGTCAAATACATGCATACATATATATACACACACACATATTTTAATAAAAGGAAAAATGGTATTAAAATTGTATTACTTGGCTCAGCGCCTGTGGCTCAAGCAGCTGGGGCACCAGCCACATGCCCCTGAGCTAGTGGGTTCAAATCCAGCCCGGGCCGCCAAACAACAATGACGGCTGCAACCAAAAGATAGCCGGACATTGTGGCGGGCGCCTGTGGTCCCAGATGCTTGGGAGGTGGAGGCAGGAGACTCGCTTGAGCCCAGGAGTTGGAGG